GCGCATCCTAGTGTGGCTAACTTGAGTGGTGAGGGCTCTGATCACTATGGTGGGTTGGTTGGGCAGTCAGCTGCATTAGGGGGTAGTCCGTCGCTCGTACCTAGCATTGGGGGGTGGCCTAGTTCAGTTCAAGGTCACACGTTGATGACCACCGCGAATCGGAGTCAATTACCGAGTTTACTTCCCCCGGGAACAAGAAGTTGTGTCAGTAAAAATATTCCAGCAGAAGTTAAAGGGGTTAGATATAACGGAGACGTAGAATGGGGTCCGTTTTATGCCAAGTTCTCCACTATCGCGGAATACCATCAGTGGAGCGATCCCGACTCTCTGTTTGCCCTAAGTCTCACACTCGAGGGGGCAGCCCTTAAGTACTTCAATATTCTCAGACGACGAGGCGCGCTGTTAAGTTTCCGAAAAGTTACTCTCCGGATGGAGGTTTGGAAAAACTTCGTTGCGAGCCGCCTCACAGCTGGAATTTAATTCTATTTGCCAGCGGGCGGACGAAGCTATAGAACAATGGGGGGACCGAGTTATGGACACTGCCCAGAAAGCGTTGGTAGCGGAACTTCGCCGGAACTCTTTCAGGAGTAGGTAATCGTTCGTTTTGCTCTTGGGTGTAATGATGGCGAGGCGGGGCAGCAACTGATTAACAACCCCCCCGGGGACTTTAGAAGAGGCGATTAAGCGTATCAAGACTTATCAGCTCAGCCGGAGAGCTGTAAGGTCCGTTTCTCGTGATCGCGGAGATGATCTTAGTTTTTCGCCATCTCAAGGTCATTCCCGACAAAACTCAGACTCCAGGTCTCGAGAACCCTATGTAGAGTACAAGGAACGCACTTCTAGGAGGAACCCGTTATCCACTGCCGAGGGAGCAAAGACCCGTACCGAGTCACCCGACCGGGCCTTATGGAGACAGCGTCATCACTCCAGTGACTGGGGAACAGTAGTAAAAGCTATAGCCCCAAGCGCCGTTCATCCACAGAACAGTCAGAGGGTCGAGGTCGTCCTCGTGCTCCAAGGCCAGTGGTCTGCTATGAATGCCAAGAGCCAGGCCATCTGCGACGGGACTGTCCGATCCGCATACGAAGGCGTAGATCGGGAACTCCTCATCCGTGCATTAAGAATACTGATAGAAAGTACACAGAAAAACGTCGTGTGTCAGACTCCGACACTAGAGTCAAGTTTTACGAACCGAATGTGAAAGCGACTTACGTAATACCGTCTGTCAGGTCAGGTAGTCAGGGAATTGGTTCTGAGGCTTGGCGTATTCCCGTGCAGCTGGGAGGCCAACGCGTGAAGGCAACTATTGATACTGCAGCTGACATCACGATAATCTCAGGGGAGGTGTACAAGTCACTAAGGCCGCAGCCCGAGATTGTTAGAGACACTAATGTTAAGCTCGCAGGGGAGGGGGCTGGGATGACCGCCCAGTACCTCGGACATTTGAATCTTCGTATCGGGGATTATGATTTCGTTCACCCGATCTATGTTGGCCCCTTACAAGACGAAATGCTTTTGGGAATTGATTTCTTGCGTGCACACGGTGCAGAAGTTTCATGTGAAGCCGGTACATTAAGGGTTAAGGGCATTGACACAACTTTCGCCCTGAGCGCTGATGAGACAGTGCCCGTACTCGATGCGGTTTCAGTCCGCAGAGTGCGGGTCCCTCCGCACACTGCCCAAGTTATCGAGTGCGCCCTTACTTCCGATATATATAGAGTTTATGCTGGAACCAGCTAGCATATTTCCGCCTGCTATAGTAGCTTCGCGGACATACAATGCCGCAGGAAACAAAGCTAAGCTATGTATCTTAAACCTGACTGACAGAAGTCACATAATCAAAACTGGTACTAAAGTAGGGGAAGCTGTTCCTGCTATGTCTGTTAAGAGTACCGATCCCACAGTGCGCCGCATGTCAGCGGAGGGGGACACTAGTTATAAACACATAGCCCCACTCCTAGATCAGTTAGGTAAGAGTGCGCCTGTGGAAGTGAAATCTCAGGCTGTAGAGCTAGTTAAAGAGTTTGCTGATGTCTTTGCTGTAGATGACCTTCACCTCGGAAATTTTTCCGAAATAGAGAATCGGATAGATACTGGTGATGCACTTCCCGTTAAGCAGCGGATGCGCCGCACTCCTGCTGTGTTCCAGGGGGAGGAAGAGGGTCATCTAGACAAAATGTTAGAGGCCGGAGTTATCCAGCCATCTTCTTCAGACTGGGCGTCTGCCCCTGTCCTAGTCGGGAAGAAGGATGGTAGTGTCCGCTGGTGCGTGGACTACAGAGCCCTGAATAAGGTGACAGTCAAGGATACGTACCCCCTACCACTCATCGAAGAGTGCATGGACACGCTAGCGGGAAACCGCTGGTTTTCTAAACTGGATGCCAATGCGGCCTAGTGGCAAATTAAAATAGCTCCGGAAGACCGGAAAAAGACAGCCTTTATTACCAAATACGGACTATTCGAATTCACAAGAATGGGGTTCGGTCTGTGTATTGCCCCCGCGACCTTCGCTAGGGCCATCAATCTGGTATTGCACAGACTTAACTGGAAGATTGCATTAGCTTTTCTCGATGATGTATTAGTATTAGGTGTTTCAGCACATGCTCACCTTGATAACCTGAGACAAGTGTTTGACCGATTCCAAGCATATGGTCTTGAGTTTAAGCCTCGGAAATGCGAGTTATTCAAAACTAGAGTCGAATTCCTAGGTAGAACCGTGAGCGAGCATGGAGTCGAGATGGGGGATCAGTACATTGAGGTAGTACGTGACTGGCCTGTTCCTTGCGACGTGAAGGGCGTTGAGCGTTTCTTAGGCTTCGCCAACTATCACCGTAGTTTAATTCCCCAGTTCTCGAGAATTGCGGCTCCGCTGTACGCGGTTACCGGAAAGAGTGGTTTCCGGTGGGGGGCTGAACAACAAAGTGCCTTCGAGGAACTCATCCAATTAATGACCAAACCCCCAGTACTTGCTATTCCAAACAGTACAGGTCACTTCATTCTGGATACTGACGCCTCGGATCATGCCGTAGGCGGGGAACTTAGCCAAATCCAGAATGGAAGGGAGCGAACCATTGGGTATGGCAGCGCTGTGCTGTCATCCGAGCAGCGCAGGTATTGCACTACTAGAAAGGAGTTATTGGCGGTAATCAAGTTTACCAGACAATTCCGCCATTACCTGCTGGGCAGGGAGTTCACAGTCCGCACAGACCACCATAGCCTGGTCTGGCTGATGAACTTTAAGCATCCGCAAAATCAGATTGCTCGCTGGTTAGAAGAGATGAGCCAATACAATATGCGGATAGTCCATCGCCCAGGCAAGAAGCACGTGAATGCCGATGCGCTGTCTAGAGACATACCAGATACATGCCAGAGTTACTCTACTAAAATCAGAGTCGAAGATTTGCCATGTGGCGGATGCCGGTACTGCCGCCGAGCACATGAGCGCTGGCATGACTTTAATACCGAAATTGACGATGTAATTCCTCTTTCCCAGCTCTTTGAGGAATCGCCTGTTAGAGCGGAGAATCAGTCCGCAGAGGGGGGTAACTATGAGATGTTAGATCCTACTCTCCGTCAGGCTATTGTGACAAATACTTGGGAAGATGTTCCGTTGGCAGCAGGTGCTCCCGAACTCCCGAGTTTTGAAATCGCTGTCAATGGGGTGTCGAGTTTAAGTCCCGAAATTGAAGAAGTAAAGCCTCAAGTCTGTCAGGTATCTCAGGGTGACACTGCGGGAATTTCTCTATGCTCTTACAGTCCCGCAGATATGGCTCATAAACAGAACTCAGATGAGGCCATGGTTTACCTGAGACAGTACTTAGAGTCTGGGGATTTACCTACCGAAAATGACCTAATTATCTGTAGCCCGGAAGAGAAATGTTACCTTCTGGAGAGAGACTGTTTTACACTGGACGAGACAGGTGTTATTTGGCGAGAACCGGAAGACTCGGACATGCCTCGTAGACTGTTAGTTCCGAGGAGTCTCAGATCCGAGTTCATGCACTTATGTCATGACATTCCGTCGTCCGGTCACCAAGGTATACAGAGAACCAAAGAGAGACTTAAACAACAGTTCTATTGGTGGCGGATGGTCAAGGACATTAAGTTATATGTCAAGACATGCGACATTTGTGCCCGGAATAAGAGGGGTTCTCTGCCGAATAAATCGGAAATGAAAAGCTACCAGGCCGGAAGTCCGATGGAGAGAGTGCACTTAGACTTCCTTGGGCCGCTACCCCGAACAGATAGCGGAAATGAGTATATACTGATGATGGTAGACAACTTTACCAAGTGGGTTGAGTGCATTCCGCTCCCGTCTCAGACAGCGGAGGTCACGGCCAGGTCAGCCATCAATGATTTCTTTTCGCGATTTGGCTATCCTTATGAAATTTTTACAGATCAGGGCCGTAATTTTGAAAGTGAGCTTTTCTGTAAAATCTGTACAATGTTAGGTATTCATAAAGCCCGGACCACGCCATACAGACCTTCCGGGAATGGCCAAGTAGAACGGTACAACCGCACCTTAATGGATGCGGTCCGTTGCTATATCGATGGTCAGCCCAAGACATGGGGATAGGTTTTTGGGTCCACTGGCTGGGGCATTGCGGTCGGCGGTGAATCGCCACACCGGATATACTCCAAATCGTCTAATGCTGGGTAGAGAAGTCAACATACCAGCAACCTTAATGTTTTCCCCACCCCCTTCGCAGTCTTTTCAAAATGGGGAGGAGGGTGAGGTTGACAGGTATGTACGTAATCTGGAACAGAACGTGCAGAGCGCGCATGACATTGCCCGTAAGAAACTAAAGGTCGCGCAGAAGGCAATGAAAAGGTCGCACGACATTTAGATCCGTACCCATAACTTCAAGGTCGGAGATTTGGTGTATTGGCGCCGCAATGCGGGAAAAAAGGTAGAATCTATCTGGAAGGGCCCTGGGGTAATTATTGAAGCCAAATCTGATACAATATTTGTCGTCAAATCTCGGCGCGATGTCAAGGTCATGCACCATGACAAGCTTAAGAGGTGTGAGGCCAGGCAACTTCCCAAGTGGTTAGTCACTTATCAGAGTAAGTTTCCCGGACAGTTAGTAGGCCGAGATGGGGATAGTTCCCGTGTGCATGATGTGGTTAGACCGCTGGGGACCGCGGACTCAGGGTCAAGTTCTGGGGACCCGGGGAGTAGGGTTAAATCTAAAGTCAGCCCTAAACCAGCAGAAACAGTAGGCCCATATTTGGGTACCCGGAAACGGGTAAGGGAAAGGTCAGAACAACCGGAAAAACCCAAATCGCCAAAACGACCTAGAGCCACTAAGGGGGCTAAGACCCGACAGTATTGTTTATGCTTACAATCTAATCCTAAGGGGTTAATGGTCCAGTGCGACAGCTGCCGGGACTGGTTTCATCCTGGGTGTGTGGGTATAAGTGATGATTACGCTAAGACAGATCTTTAAACAAAATTATTCATGTATTATTGAACAATTACAGATTTATGAATGATTTATTTGGAATTGGCAATGGATATTTATTTAATGAAAGATTTCAAATTTGGCAATGATTATTTATTTAATGAAAGATTTCAAATTTAATTATACAGACCTCATAATATAAAATTTGAACAGAAACAGAATATGACACATAATAATTTGAAACACAAATATATGTTGGAGATGGTACCGATATTTCATCCTCCAAATATTTCTCTCACTCCCCCTAGACTAGAAATATGTACACGTTCGTCTGCAAAACCTCTAAGATATGTACACTAATAACTTTTTTAACTTGAGGGATGAAGTTTCCGTTTTTGACACGTTTCATGTTGAATATTCTATTAGAACATTTATTGATATATTCATAATTGACTAAATGTAAAGCCCCTTAATTATTACACACAGTTCATGCTCCTGTCCTCTGCATTTTGTAGTTTTTACATCGTTATGACTGAATCAATGTTTTCTGTCATGTTTACTTGACTACATAAGCTTGTGCTGTTTTCTTTAATGATTTATAGTTGAGTTATTTATCTGTTTAAAAACTACTTAAATAAATAAATCTTGTTTCTTGATTTTCTGTTTCATTATGCTTTTTTCCAACTATCAGGACTTAACATTAGTGCTTGTCAATACCAGCGAAAAAAAAAATTACGGACAAGGGAACATTGCCGGGCACTTCTCCGATTGGACAAGTGCATTTTTATGTAAAGAAGTCTCCAAATAATAAAAAGAATGACAGGAGTAAAGTTTATTCATTGGTAGTTCAGATAAGCAGTGCATGAAAGACAAACCTCGATCCCGATATCAATTACTGTAATTGAGTCACACTCGATCAGGATCGAAGTTCACCAACTGCATTCTACTTTTAATTTTAAATAGCAAAGACGTGGATATTACTGATTACAAAATATGGATTCTCTAGATCGAGCACAGTTTCACTTGCGAACATTTATGTAATTATTTTTGTCAGGACAGGAAGCTAGATAAAATTTTGTTTTACGTGAAATGCAATATGGTTCTTTTCAAAAGCATTGTATGCCATAGAGTACTCAGGTGGCCGTTAAGGTCCATGGGCCTCTTGTTTTAATATTGATTATTGTACATGGTTTTTAAATTTTGTGATACCCCTGCATGAATCCAGGAATAAGCTACTTCACACCCACTTCATAGAAATCTGTCTCTAAGTCAGATTTTTTTGAAATGTAAAGATCTTCTTACTTTTTTACCATGACTAAAAACTGTGAATAGACTTAAGTCGAAATTTCAAATGAATATAATTTCTTAAATAATTTTGATAAACAAACAAAATTTTCATGATGTGTTTACAATATGATATAAACTTGCAATTTTTTTTAACACATATGTAAAATAAAACTAAAGATTCATATTCAAAATTTGGACTTAAGTCTATTCTCAATTTATGGTCATGGGGCCAGATGTCCGTGTTTAATAGAAAAGGGGGTGTTGTTCAAGAAAATGTTTAAAAGAGAGGCAGATCCCTCACTTTAGATCCGCCAGAGGTATACAATTCTTTAAAACAATACGTTCAAAATTTTTCGACTAATAATACTATCCTCGTCCAAAATTGACAAGTTGCAGGTTCTTATCCGTTCTTTAGTGTCATCTGCAATGACCTTTAGGAGATGTTGGTTCGAGTACTGGCCATCGCGAATTCCTGCCCAATGGTGCACTAGTGGCGGTCTGAAACTGAAGTGCTGCCAAACCAGTGCTCGCCGTAACTGCTACAGCCCTGTCTTTCAACCTACAGAAGGAATCTTTTATAAGGAAGGATTTACCTGTACCTGCCTGGCCATGTATTACACAATTATGCCACTTTCTATTAACTGGAAAGGATCAAATTGCTATGCATTCAACATGTCGAAAAAGCATGTCGCTGTCTTGGATGATTTTTCTCACGAAACGCCATATAATTCAAGATGCGACCATGACGAACCTTGTTATTCTTACAGATTGGAGAATTTATGAAAGGTTAAAACGCCAAGTGCCTGTGCTAGAACTGTCCAAAATGGACAAATACCCCCAGAGAAGGTGCCAGGTCATTTATACAAGTATTTGATGGATCTAAGAGGTGTTCACAATTTGTTTAAACATATAATGGTGAAAAATTACCGGTAATTGTTCATTGTGTTTTTTTAATGAATGAACCTAAGGCGCAACTTTAGAATTTCTCTATTAGAAAGAATGGATGCCTCAAGTTATTTATCCATTTTTTTTCTACATTGACAATTGGTCAAGATCATGACTCATCCTCAGGTCATAAGCAATCTTTGTGTGAAGTGGAAACTCCCAACATTATTCTCTATAAGAAAGGTACGGACCGGACACGATTTATGAACTTTTTTTTGTCAACGGCCTTGAACTTGCACAATAACTTTAAGTCAAGGTCTGACACAACCTCAGGTCATAAGCAATCTTTGTGTAAAATGGGAACTCATCCATAAGAAAGATATGGACCGGACATGAATTATGAACTTTTTCTTTCAGTGACCTTGATCTTGCCCAAATGACCTTCGGTCAAGGTGATGACACTTCCTCAGATCATCAGCAATCTTTGTAGTAAAATGAGAACACACCGAGTGTATCAATAAGAAAGATATGGACCGGACACAAATTGTAAACTTTTCCTTTCAGTGACCTTGAATTTGCCCAAATGACCTTGGGTCAGGGTCACGTCACATCCTCAGGTCATCAACAATCTTTGTTTGAAGGAGGAGATTTTAATGTTCCTCCTTAAGAAAGATATGGACCGGACACATTTGCACAGACGGACAAGGCGATTCCTATATACTCCCCACCAAATTTGCGGGGGGGGGGGGTTAATAAAAAATACTGTGGAATCATCATCGTTGGTGGGGGACCAATGTTCGTGGATTTCGTGGGTTACCCTTACCCACGAATGTACATCCCCACGAACGTTTATTTTGTAAACATATTAATTAACTGAATCTACCATATACACGAGTAACCCACGAAATTACGTCCCCTCGAACAAGTAAAATTTTGCTTGTCCACGAACATTGACCCCCACGAATTAAAATGATTCCACAGTATATTCTTTATAACGTAACGATTGAAAATTAGAATTTAAATACATGATAGGGAAACAATATCAAATTTCAGCATTTCAAATCTATGTGTTTACTTAAACTTCAAATGCAACAAAGTGAAATTCTGTGTAAAGAGAAAGACCTGAGACTTTGTCCGTCATAATTTATGATATTTATTTCATGTAATGCAATGAAAACTTATGAGCTTTTTACATCGCTCATTTCTGATATCTTTAGAATGAACCTTTAAAGTGCTTAGTTCCATTGTTATGGTAAGAAGATATATTTATTAATCGTAAAAAAGAATTTTGCCTAAAAAGTTAAAACTTTCGTTAAATTACCATCTCAGAGTCGGTGTCATTTTAAAGATATTAAATTTTAAAAAGTAATTTTTTGGGACACCCACCCACCCACATATAAAAATAGTATTCAAAGCTAACGCATGTGCTGATTGTGCAGTAACTTAGGGAAAAAAATCGCATGATGGATGTCAAACGAACACGTTAACTTGCAATCCAAAATAAATTAAAGATGTCAAAACGAATCAATCTCTGGCAGAAAAAGACACCAAATGATGCAGCTGACGGAATAAATTATCGACAAAAAGGAAAGGGTGGAATATTCTTATTATGACGAAAATAGAGCGAAACTCGCCTGCTATGTTGTGGACAACGGCGATGCAAACTGTATGAAAAAATTCTGGACAGCTGTTACAAAAAATTAGCAAGGCGCAACCGTATGAGTATGCGAAACATCTTTTTTTTTTTTGTTTAAAAAGAGAAGGTACACGTACTTTTTATCGATTGATTGCATGTTGTTTAACGTCCCATTTGAAAAATTTGTTTTCACTGATATGGAGTTGGTGGAGGGCTTAACATTTCGACCTTTACTCGGCAGTCAGGGCCAATGAGCAGTGAGGGATCTATATCGTGCCAACGCCTGCCGTGACACGGGGCCTCGGTTTTTAAGGTCTCATCCGAAGGACTCGCAACTTTCACATCAAAGTGCCGAGCGCTCGGCGAAGGAACAGTTGCTACCCATTTTTTATCGACTTAGATCAGTCGCGGGCGAGATTCGAACTCGAGACTTTTACAGAACGAGCGCTCTACCTACTGATCTACCGTGACGATCTACCGTGACGATCATGTACTTTTGGATAAGCAAATTTGGGTTAAAACGATCACCTTTATTTCCACATTATTTTCAATTACTGTTCGTACGTAGAACATGCTCTTGCTTATCAATTCATTAAGAGACATAAACCCCATATGCAGGCGATAATGATATATTATTACATGTACATAAATAAGGAAATTTAAAAGTGGAAAAGTTAAAGTCATAACTTTTCTTCATAAGTTATATTACTCATTTTTTTGTTTTTCCAAATAAAGCATCCAAATATAAAAATGATGACATTGTGTAAGACTTTGTAGTGTCTTTTAATGCGATATATCGATTCAACGTAGGATTTAAACTGAATATTGTCAATAAGACGTCGTCGATAAATCTAAATATCAAATTGAAAGCCACGGCAAGAGATCCCTTTTCATGTTGAAGCTTTTGAATAAATTCTGCTTAGTTATAACTAGATATCATTGAGATGGTGGCCATCTCAAAGGGCCCCGCTTTCAGCAAGGAACATGAAAAAGTAAAGGAGCTGAAAAGGGTTTATTTTGAAGAGGAACACTTGTGTACTATTAAGGGATGTGTTGTTTGAGTCTAAAGCTTCTATGTCAACCTTGTTATAATAAAAAATGGCATGAAAATCACGAGTGCTCCATACCCTCTATCAAAAAGCAGCACAAAAATCACAAATGTTGCATATCCTCTATGAAAACTTTTGCACATGTATCAAAATATGGAAGGAAATTCACAAATGTTCTGTACCCTACG